GGCTTAATCCTCATAAAATGAGGTTTACCTAGTTTGAACTAAGCGCTCCGCTAGTTCGATTCAAATTCGAACTAGCGGAGCGCTAGTGTAGCGCCTATTAAAGTTAGTTCGAACTAACGTCCATTAGTTCGAACTAACTTTGTAGTGTAGACATACCCTGATTGGTATTCACCTGTTCTGGTGGCGGGCTGTACTGGAGGGTTCCACTGCCGGTAGAGGGAAGGGCCCATCCCTCTAAGGCAGAAGCCTGGAAGGGCAGGGCTGGGGCAGGCCATGTCAGGCTGCCCTGCACAGGGGGATGGAGTGGCATTTGTAAGGTGGAGCACTAGCACCCTGTGGCAGAGAGTAGGCAACTGCAGCAGCCAGATGAACAGAGAATTTCAGACTGAGCAGCTTGGGCCTGGGGGGCTATGGGCAAAAAAGAAATAAATGCAGGGGAGAAGTGGGCCTGAGTGACCCCTGCTATTGGCTTCCTCTACCCTCCACATGCTCCTGAAGTGCAGGACCCCCCAAAGCATGGGATCTGGGGCAGTGGCCCCACTTTGTCCTATGGACAACTTTACTCACAGGCACCCATCTGGGGCTATGTCTAGACTGCAAGCCTCTTTCGAAAGAGACTTTTTTGAAAGATACTTTCGAAAAAGCCTCTTTCGAAAAAGAGCGTCTAAACTGCAAGCAGTACTTTCAAAAAAGCAAGCTGCTTTTTCGAAAGAGAGCACCCAGGCTGTCTGGATGCTCTCTTTTGAAAAAGCCCTGTTTGCATTCAAGAATGCCTTTTTTCGAAAGAGCACTTTCAAAAAAAGGCGTTCTTCTTCGTGAAACGAGGTTTTCCGCCGTCAAAAGAAAAGCTGCGTTCTTTCGATTTAATTTCGAAAGAACGCGGCTGTAGTCTAGACGTAGGTGAAGTTTTTTCGAAAAAACCCTTGAGTCTGGACACGGCCTGGCAGTCTGCTCTGTTCCCCACCCAAGAATCCCAGTCTGGGCAAACCAATGACACTTTTCAGGTGAGAGGAAGGTAGGGAAGGAGCTTACACTGTTATTCTCCTGGGTTATGTCTACTCAGAAGCGTTATTTCGGAATAACTAACGTTATTCCGAAATAACAAAGTGTATGTCTACACAGCAAGGTATTATTTCAACATAATATTGAAATAATATCAAGCTGGAGGACTTCTTACTCCAACTCTCGTGACCCTTTGTGACAGCGAGTTGGGGGTTTCCCAATCCTACACCCCCGTAGCAGCCAGAACAGTCTCCACCAGCCAGTAGAACAGAGAGGGGTTTATTGATTTTTCTAGAATACTGCATAGCACATACGTGATGTGGCTACCAGAGGCAGGATCAGGATGGCTCTGGCCCTAGGGTTAGAGTCCATCACCCCTAGCCCCTAGCTTAGCCTGTTCTCTCCATGCTTCCCAGACAGCAACTTCACCTCCCCCCGCCCGCAAGTCCTTTGTCCCTCTCTTCCGTTAACTTGTATAACTGGTTTTGCTACCATCCTGGGAGCAGCAGGATACCCCCTGCTGGGCCGTGCTTACAGACAGCTGCCAGTGGGGGTCCCCTACAGCCCAACAAGATACTGACACTATACCACATCATTTTACAAGGAATAAGGGAAGTTGGAGGAAGAGTGCTCTTTCTCCGACTTCCTGTTGCTACAGTTCCAAAAGCTGAAATAAGCTAATTCAACTTAAGCTACGCAATTGATGTAACTCAAGTGGCATAGCTTACTTCGGCTTTAGCCCTGCTGTGTAGACATGCCCTATGTGAACTACACATCTGACATCTTAACTATATTCCTACCACTCAGCCTAAATGAGGCTGGCAAGTAATGTAAAACAAAATGGCATAGTAATACATATGTATGTATGTTTATTGGGAATGCCTGTTATAGCGTCAATAATTTTGTCTCTAAATAGTCCAAATTCATATGAATTTGCTTTAAAAAAAGTTACGTTCAATTTTTAGAGGTGTCACCATTGCAAAGAAAATGTCCATTCCTTAAGAGATAATCTTGTATGAAACAAACCATATTATACTCCTAAATTTTGAATGACAATTTACAGTCAATCCCATTTTGCTCCTGTACGAATTTATTGTAGGTCTCTGAGTTAATGAGCCTGCCCCATGAAGCAGTGTGGAGAATCTCATCCTCTTCAATTTTTCTCCAATGCCATTTGTTTCTAAGAAAATCTGTAAGCACTGCAACTTCTTCTATCATTTCCTTGTATTCATTTTCCACTCTTTTGCCAGAGATTTAGCTTACTTCTTAGTTAATATAATAAAGGTGTGAAACACAGAAACGCTAGTAAGAGATTGTTCTTTATTTCTTGGCTTCCATCATATGACATAGTCCAGGGTAACAAAAGTTTACATATAATGGGGAATCTGCATCTACTATTATAAAAGTGACATCAAAACCACCACAAAGAATGATGGTGCTAATCCACTTTCTTTTTAATGTCATAATTTAATGACTCTGCTGGATGTTTTTACTGATTTTTCTAATGGTTGGGTAGAATCATGACTGCCACTGGCTTCACCTCAAGTCCCTATAGATACGTTCACAATGGGATAAAAGACCCGTGGCTGGCCTGGGTTAGCTGACTCAAGCTTGTGCGTCTTGGGCTATGAGGCTATAAAACTGCAATGTGGACGCTGGGGCTTGGGTTGGAACCTGGGCTCCACCTAGTAAGGCCTTGAGCATGGGTTCCTGCCCCAAATCCACTAATCTACACTGCAACTTTTAACCCTGTAGCTCTAACCCTGCAACCCAGAGTCAGCTGATCTGAGCTGTGAGACTCTGTGCTGGTGGTTTTTAAAGCACAGTGTAGACTAACTCAGACAACTGTGAACAAACAGGTAACAGCTGGCAGAATAGTGTTGCCAGGAGTAAGGTCCCCTTGTTCAGGAAGGATTCCATTTGTCCAGATTTCAGGAGTTTTACTAGCCCTTTCCATCGCCCTAACTGCTCAGGGTACATTCTCTATAAAGTGAAAAGAACATAAAAATCACACATCACTACTAAGTAAGGATATAGTTTAGTCACGGAGGTCTCACATTCCATGATTTTAATGAACCTCCGTGACTTCTTCAGCTTCAGCCCCCACCTCCATAGGGCTTGGATTATCCGTTCCTCCCCTCCACCCCCTAGGCAGTCAGTCCCCACCCCTTATTTGTAGTAAAAGTCACAGCCAGGTCATGGGCTTCTGTGATTGTTTGTTTATTGCCTATGACTTGTCCCTGACTTTCACTAAAAATAGTAACAAGGAAGGAACATTTAAGCAATGGCAAAACAATGCACTGCTATTCTGTTTGAGGAACTGACAGAGATTGGCCTTTGGGATCATCAAATCTACTGTTTGTTGTGAGCTGCATGATCATGTGGATTCCGTAGGTCAAGATCCATAATAAAACTATTGATGTCACCAAGCCCATCCAGATTCCCGGAGAGAAGAAAGATGTACAGTCACTTGCATAGGAAAACAGGTTACTTTTAATATTGAAGCCTTGAATCTGAGAACAAGAAAAAAAATAGGTGATCCCAAATGAATTTATCCAACAAAACCTATTTTTAAGATCTGTATATTCGCTACAAAATCCAGGCCTGCAAAATACTGTGTGCCTTTAATTCTCATTGAAGAGGAGTGAACACAAACTCTTTTTAAGCAAGATTTTTTCAATTTCTCTGTCCTTCCAGGAAGTTTTAGATGCATGATACAGGCAGTCCCCGGGTTACGTACAAGATAGGGACTGTAGGTTTGTTCTTAAATTGAATCTGTATGTAAGTCGGAACTGGGTACCAAGCAGCACAATACGTAATTTATTGAGAAATTATTTGCTGGCATTTCAAAATATTAGGGTTACTAACATATCTGTTCATCTTCAAATAACTTCACTTAGGCTATATCTACACAACAGCATTATTTCAGAATAACTAATGTTATTCCAAAATAACATAGTCTGCATCTGCACTAAAGCAATTATTTCAACCTAATGGACTTCTTACGCCAACTCCTGTACACATCATTTTACAAGGAATAAGGGAAGTTGGAGGAAGAGTGCTCTTTCTCCGACTTCCTGTTGCTACAGTTCCAAAAGCTGAAATAAGCTAATTCAACTTAAGCTACGCAATTGATGTAACTCAAGTGGCATAGCTTACTTCGGCTTTAGCCCTGCTGTGTAGACGTATCCCTACACTGCTGGATAGGGTCCCATAATAACTGACCCGGGCAGAGCAGTCTCTGCCATCTTCTTGTGGATTTTAGGTAAAAAGCACAACAAACTTGTTTGTGCACACTGTCTATTTTCATAATAATCTTGCTTCACCATGCCTGTTATATCGTCAATAATTTGGTCTCTAAATAGTCCAAATTCATATGAATTTGTTTTAAAAAAAGTTACGTTCAATTTTTAGAGGTGTCACCATTGCAAAGAAAATGTCCATTCCTTAAGAGATAATCTTGTATGAAACAAACCATATTATACTCCTAAATTTTGAATGACAATTTACAGTCAATCCCATTTTGCTCCTGTGCAAATTTATTGTAGGTCTCTGAGTTAATGAGCCTGCCCCATGAAGCAGTGTGGAGAATCTCATCCTCTTCAATTTTTCTCCAATGCCATTTGTTTCTAAGAAAATCTGTAAGCACTGCAACTTCTTCTATCATTTCCTTGTATTCATTTTCCACTCTTTTGCCAGAGATTTAGCTTACTTCTTAGTTAATATAATAAAGGTGTGAAACACAGAAACGCTAGTAAGAGATTGTTCTTTATTTCTTGGCTTCCATCATATGACATAGTCCAGGGTAACAAAAGTTTACATATAATGGGGAATCTGCATCTACTATTATAAAAGTGACATCAAAACCACCACAAAGAATGATGGTGCTAATCCACTTTCTTTTTAATGTCATAATTTAATGACTCTGCTGGATGTTTTTACTGATTTTTCTAATGGTTGGGTAGAATCATGACTGCCACTGGCTTCACCTCAAGTCCCTATAGATACGTTCACAATGGGATAAAAGACCCGTGGCTGGCCTGGGTTAGCTGACTCAAGCTTGTGCGTCTTGGGCTATGAGGCTATAAAACTGCAATGTGGACGCTGGGGCTTGGGTTGGAACCTGGGCTCCACCTAGTAAGGCCTTGAGCATGGGTTCCTGCCCCAAGTCCACTAATCTACACTGCAACTTTTAACCCTGTAGCTCTAACTCTGCAACCCAGAGTCAACTGATCTGAGCTGTGAGACTCTGTGCTGGTGGTTTTTAAAGCACAGTGTAGACTAACTCAGACAACTGTGAACAAACAGGTAACAGCTGGCAGAATAGTGTTGCCAGGAGTAAGGTCCCCTTGTTCAGGAAGGATTCCATTTGTCCAGATTTCAGGAGTTTTACTAGCCCTTTCCGTCACCCTAACTGCTCAGGGTACATTCTCTATAAAGTGAAAAGAACATAAAAATCACACATCACTACTAAGTAAGGATATAGTTTAGTCACGGAGGTCTCACATTCCATGATTTTAATGAACCTCCGTGACTTCTTCAGCTTCAGCCCCCACCTCCATGGGGCTTGGATTATCCGTTCCTCCCCTCCACCCCCTAGGCAGTCAGTCCCCACCCCTTATTTGTAGTAAAAGTCACAGCCAGGTCATGGGCTTCTGTGATTGTTTGTTTATTGCCTATGACTTGTCCCTGACTTTCACTAAAAATAGTAACAAGGAAGGAACATTTAAGCAATGGCAAAACAATGCACTGCTATTCTGTTTGAGGAACTGACAGAGATTGGCCTTTGGGATCATCAAATCTACTGTTTGTTGTGAGCTGCATGATCATGTGGATTCCGTAGGTCAAGATCCATAATAAAACTATTGATGTCACCAAGCCCATCCAGATTCCCGGAGAGAAGAAAGATGTACAGTCACTTGCATAGGAAAACAGGTTACTTTTAATATTGAAGCCTTGAATCTGAGAACAAGAAAAAAAATAGGTGATCCCAAATGAATTTATCCAACAAAACCTATTTTTAAGATCTGTATATTCGCTACAAAATCCAGGCCTGCAAAATACTGTGTGCCTTTAATTCTCATTGAAGAGGAGTGAACACAAACTCTTTTTAAGCAAGATTTTTTCAATTTCTCTGTCCTTCCAGGAAGTTTTAGATGCATGATACAGGCAGTCCCCGGGTTACGTACAAGATAGGGACTGTAGGTTTGTTCTTAAATTGAATCTGTATGTAAGTCGGAACTGGCGTCAGCCGCTGCTGAAACTGA